GGGAAGGGGCTTCTTCTATTTATTTGCATTTATTGGGGCTGGTGAATGTTCTTGGTCTTCCGGAGCGTTGTTTACTTACGTTGTGCACAATTCCGTACGCTTCAAATTTATCTTTGATGCGAGCAAGGGTACGTCGCGTTGGTGAAGTCTTCTGAAACTGTTAAATTGTCTCTGCGTTTCCATGACATTCTCCTACTTCTAATAGCACTTTAATATAATTTGTTTCTTCAAACGTTAGTTTCGCTTTTGCCATTATGAAGGGTTGGGCGCATCTGAAACTAAAAAATACATTATTAATCATTTGTCAAAGAATACATTGTTAATCGTCTGTCAAAAGCATACATTATTAATCGACTTTCAAAGAGTAACTACATCTTTTTGGGACACCCTGTATATGTACAACGACGTGCAGGGTAGAAGTCAGCCTGAATTTCGCATTTAGCTCACACGAGCAACGATAAGTGATCAAAAATCGTAACCGTTTGATTTTTCTGGGTGATGGAAGAGAGATTACATCCTTTTGTACTTTTGCACAAAGTCCGTTAACCTCTTTTTGAAGATGGGCATGGCACTTGACAGTGTCTAGTCTGAAGCTACCTCTTCAGTCTGCTAAGTCGCGTTGTACAGAGCAGCAAGCGCAGTCGATAAAATCACCTTCATCTTTTCGCGAAGATGAAGGGAGGACATCGGGTCCAGGATCGTTGTTTCATTTCATTACGGAAACGTATTGCGCGTGTTTTATTGCAAGGTACAGAATGGGTCGCGGGAAACCACGCATGGTAGACTCAACGAGCCAACGTAATGTGGTCTTCATTTCATCTTATCGCGTCATTAGTTGCTTATTATGGATGGTTCCTTTACCACTCCAGTTCCGGTGCAGAAGAAGTTGCTCCGTGGTTATCGATGAGAGACCTACGTTTCCTGTGGCAGGGCCAACAGTGATTATGTTCAGTTTTATTCTTTTGAGCTCTTTGCAATCATGCAAGTTGGAAACTTGCTCATTTCATGCTTGCTTCCGTGAGCGGATCAGTTCTTCGCATAGGTCCTCCTTTAGCAACTCGTACAGATTAATCTAGATCAGCAGCGCGGTGATAATCGAAGAACTGCACTTCGTTTCATACTTCTAGCCCGGACTTCTCTTCTAATTTGATCCACCAGGGCTCAACCTTCGTCATTCCAGGCGAGTTTTCGACCATCTTGTCTCTGATAGTGCTCAGCTCAAGGAACCGGACGGCGATGCTTATTGATAATGTGGGTGTTAACCATATACCTGATTTGTCCGTTGATATCTGGCTTGCTAACAGCGCTGGGGTGTAAATCGGTTGGACCTTAAGTACGCACTTTTCATTTCTGCACCTTCCTCCCTTCGCATGTTCTGTATTCACTAGTTTTGTTCATCCTGTAAGCTCCGCACTATTTGGTTGTCCCGAAATCCATTGACCTTTCTAACACATTTTGCAACTATTATTTATTTTAAACAAGCAAGATAACGTCAGTTGTTATCGACGACGTACTGTGAACGCTGAGACAAGCCGTCGATGCTTCTCTCTTATGACAAGCTGGGCTATCTGTCAAAGTATTGGGCGAGATACCTTTCGATACGGTTACAGTCACCGAATCTCTCGTCCTAGAGTAGATGTTGTAGCGAGCGAAAAGGTTGTAGTCAGTAGCAGTAAGGTATGGGCTAGATGCTTAAGGCATAAGGTATTCGACACCGAGCTGCTGAGTCTTGAGACACCTAATCTTCAACATATGAAGGCGTGTACTGTCATGCAGAACGATTTGAGCCGCTATTGGACGTATTTTTCGGTGTTCGTCGACCATCTTTTCCTGTTGTTGGCAGTGGACGCCGGTAGTAATCGTTGAGTTATCAGGTGGCAGTTCCCAATAGATGACGCAGCGTTGATCCCACCAGACCTACAGCATCACTTTTTGTCGTGCACTCTGTCTTTCGGGACTTCTATTAGCATGTCGTCTGCTGTGATACACTGACAATTCCTGGAGCGCCCACTATTCACCACAAGTAACGACATAGTTTAGTCATCGATGATTACGTCCTCTGGTGAACCATAAAAGTGCGATGACATTTCAAAAATTCCTCATCAGTCGATTCGTGTGGCACAATTTGTTCAAGCTTTAGGACCATTCTGAATTGGCCCAAATACCGATGAATGTTGGCTTTCGGAGGGCAAGGGGTGTCGAAATTTCGCACACTGCATTGGATCCTACTTCGGAAGATCCTGTATGCTATTGACAAAGTCTGCTGGCTTGCGTCCTTGACCTAGGTTTGACAATCCGAAGTTTCTTACTCTAAACCGACGAAACCAAAATTTCTACATACCTTAACTTGGGGCATCCGTGTCCAGTACGGCACGCATGTTACGATAAGCCTCGACCGCTTTGCGCCCCTGTAAGAACTGGTACAACAAGCATCTACAAACAGTATGTTGATCATCTACCAATACCGCAGCCATTGCTAAGCTAGACAATGTAAGATTATTGTTCTAATAGGTCCCATTATGTATCGTATAAAAGCAGCTTCCAGAGAATACTGGAATGGCACCGAAAAGTGTCAATTGATTTTCGACAACCTACTAGTTGGAGTCAGGTGGCCTATCAATCTGCATTAGGGTAGGTTGATGAGGTTGTTTTGTGTTCCCGCAGAGTCCAACATTTTTCTTGTATTACACCAGTTCCTTTGACCACTGGTTATGTCACACTGGGTGATTTTGTTCCATGCACTGTAATGAAGCCTTATTCTGCCGAAACTTACGTTCGATAAAATGAAGCACAATCCACCAGACATACTGCTGTGTTCACTAATCCATAAGCCGAAACGACTTCCTCTTCCTCAGTTTGTGGTAGACCAAAGGCAGACACTACTGCATCTGTTATTAGTAGCGTGGAAAAGCCGGACTGTGAAATGGCATCCAGCCAACAGCAGGCCTCACTGATTCTTCCCAAGGAGAGGAAGGCTTTAAAACAGTTGCCTGCACGCGAGGAATAGACGCACAACAATGCACACTACATAACTCCTGTACACAGAAGGAAGTCGGCCAGTGGCCGAGTGGTCTGCGCACCTCGTTTGCAAACATAAGCTCCCCGGTTCGAATCCGCGTAGGGGTGGGCGTCCTCGCGGTATACTCAGCTCGCGCGCGACGTGGTGGCGCGGCAGTGAAGCGCCGTATGGCGTACAGCTGACACATTATTGTTTTTATTATTACACAGAGGTAACCCCGAGCCATGCAACCTTCATCAAGGATAGCGAAGCTAATTGGATGTCTTGTTTGTCGGAACGAATGCACGTAGTATTAGCTATGTTGACACAATAAATTATTCCGCCTGCACTTCGGGTTCTTACAAGTTGAATAAATCGGTTTTTGTTCGTCGCAGTCAGCTGACAATTCAGATAAGCCAACTACCTATCCGGAAAGCACCAGACGGCCGTTTCGCTCTGTTGGGGCTCGTCAGTGGTGCGCATCCTTCGGTCCTCTACGGAGGATCGAACCCATGTCTGCTAGTGGCTTGTGCCAACTAGTCCGCTGCTTATGCAACTGAGCCATGGAGGACGTCAGCCGACAATTCGTGATGGTCTGCTACCGTCCTCCATGGCTCAGTTGCATAAGCAGCGGACTAGTTGGCACAAGCCACTAGCAGTCATGGGTTCGATCCTCAGTAGAGGACCGAAGGATGCGCACCACTGACGAGCCCCAATAGGGCGAAACGGCCGTCTGGTGCTTTTCCGGATAGGTAGTTGACTTATCTGAATTGTCAGCTGACTGCGACGAACAAAAATACTCGCTAATATCCTTCTACTCATAAGTAATATAAATTCGCCCTTACGGATTCCATAAATGCTATGTCGATTCATAGCTGCCGTAAACGGGAAGTCCTGACGCCGGAAGGCCAACCGCTGTCATCTGCATGGCAGGTGCCTGCATGACAGTGGGGGATGGGTCGGGCTATATCGCAGTTAGCTAACAATTCGTGATGGTCGGCTACCGTCCTCCATGGCTCAGTTGCATAAGCAGCGGGCTAGTTGGCACAAGCCACTAGCAGTCATGGGTTCGATCCTCCGTAGAGGACCGAAGGATGCGCACCACTGACGAGCCCCAACAGAGCGAAACGGCCGTCTGGTGCTATCCGGATAGGTAGTTGACTTATCTGAATTGTCCGCTGATTGCGACGAACAAAAATACTCGCTAAAATCCTTCTACTCCTACGTAAATCGGTTTTTCTTAACCCCAATAAATTAACAGCAGACTATCGCGTATTTTGGGTGGCGTCGCGTGTTCTGAAGGGACTGGGAACAGCATGAAACCATCTCTCAATCTTGTGATGATGTAATTTTACTTGGATCCGTTACTGTTCACCAACTTGAATACTATATGGTTCAAATCGCTGTAGTGCTGGTAAACATTGCACACCAAAGTACTCGGTCTGTTGATCCAGGTCTACCGTGCCTTAACTATCATGCTCGACTCGAGTTTTACAGACATTCCGACGCGATGCCGGATAGTCTGCTGCTGGCAGGCTCTAATAACGCTTATTCGATATTCACACTATCGGTGAACCACATTTTCCTGAAGTCAGTGATAAAGCACGGTGTTCCCCACCCTCTTCAGAACGCAATGAGGATGTCTCATGTCAATACCATTGCGCTGCTTGCACTGCCGGGGTATGCGTCGTAGAACCTAAACGATAGTCACCTCGTTTCCCTAAGTGTTTATGGTTTCAAATGCCACATGAGCCTTATCGCTGCTTGTATTAAACTTGAGGTGATTTGGGTACCTTTGCTTATTTAGGCAATCCGATCAACAGGTCCGTAATGTACTCGAAACACTTCGAACTATAGTGTGTCAGTCTAGTCGTATGATAGTCCCCCGCACTTCAACGGTGCGGCGAACGTATGGTTGCTAGCAGGAAATTAAGAGGACCTGGCATACCACTGCTCCTGCTTAACATATTCACCACATCACTGTGCTCTAATCACTTTCCAGATCAATCCGAACATCGCTTATCATGCGTCGGCACAAGGGAAGTTCCAGACAAATGGTTAGAAACTACCGGGTAAGCTGCGACACCAATAATCGCCGGGTTATTTGAAAAAAACTTATCGAAAAGTGCGTGATGAACTTCGTCTGCTACATAAGTCACGACATATTTTACTTGATAAGCGATCGTGTACTATCAATTAATAATTGCATTATCCGAAATACATTTCAGAACCTATCGGTTCCTGCTATGCATAGTAATTCTGTTTCTGTGCATACACCATGATTTCCACCGCGTACCTCACAATTGGTTGTTACAAAAGTCAGAGCTGTTTAGGAACGGGGATTCATTACTAAGTTGCCTGTCGTCATACCTGAGTGATTGCCACCAGCTAGTCATTTTAAGTGACATTCGCCTTTCACCACGTCCCATCACTAGTGGGGCCATCCAAAAGAGCATGCTCGATCCTTCACCATTCATGCGGTATATCAATGTTATCAGCACATCCGTAAACATAGTCGGCCATTTTTATTCCCCGAGGATGTCAAAACTATTTATAGGCTTCGATATGACGAACTCCATGCGACGCTGTTGCTCGTTCTAGGTGGCTTTTCTTCCCCTGTTGCATGGTTTCACTCTCGACTAAAAGATGAAGCTGTTCCATCCCAGAAGAATCTATTGTATTCAGCCATGAGCGTTTCCATACTACTGACCACGCGCTGTTTCGGAAGCATGCCCACTACGAATTAGCTTGTGCCGGTCAATCTCTGACTAATGTATTCAGCAAAATCCACACAATCCATGCTAGAGTTGGACTCCTTAACTTGCTCACCCGCTCCAACTACGAGTTTTATAGCATGATATCCGGCAGCTTGAGAGAGTGACCGAATTGGTATGAAACACCTATGGAGATCGTTCACTAAACACCTGACTGGTAAGCATCCTGCTATGAATTTTTGAGAGCATTGCAAGAAACTTGAGCTCAGATCACTTGATGCGACAATTGAAGCACAACTTGTTTCTGCTTTTTAACCTTCCACACAGGAAAACCTATTCCAATCTGCATACACTCGAACTGCAATAATGATTATTAAAGACCCGAATTTTCTGCGATTCCCCGAAACAGAAAAATCGCGGAATTCGCTAAATGCTGCGGAAAATGAAACTTTTCGCGGAATCGCAGAAAAAATGCAAACTTCACAAAGGAAGCTACTTTGAATTCGTTTTCGTTGTACTCAATATCATTGTATCCAGAAGAAATGCCAAAGTAGCCAGCTGGCTTTTGGAACATTTCTCTGGAATATCATCGCCGGCATCTGTCCACCATCTGATATCGAAGTTCGCTTGGTCTCAGACCCAGATGTCACCCATACATCTATCCATTAAACAACCATGTCCCACCCATCTGCCCACGCTTTGCACTCATCCTATTGTCCATTATACAAACATCCTTTGCTCACCTGTACATTAAATCTGTTCGACGTCTGTTCGGTCACACTTTTCGCGCATGCCTGGCCAGCACACCGCCCTCCATTACGGTCACCCATGAATTTAGGCGTTGACCAGCGGCCACGTCGTTGCATAGGCCTCAGCAGCGCACTATAACCGACTGTGTTAATTCGCTGAAAGACTGAAATCGTCGTCATCTGTCAGTACAGTGGCGAGAACGGTGATTTGTTCCCTCTTAGAGTACTTCGTGAAGCTACTGTTGTGCCAGTACTGAGCGGTTACTGTTGTGTTTTGTCATTACTGAATCTTCATTTTCCTTTGAATGGTACCGTAGTTCAGTGTCGGCTACGCTTTCTTTTGACCCATTATTCGAGAAGGGAGCGCACCTGTTGCGTACAAAATGCAACCGATTTTATTTTTTGCAGATTTCATCTCAGAAAAGGAAACAGCATGTAGGAGCAAAAACATCCCTGGACAAAGTGCAGGAGTTTCATGGATAAAACAGTTACTGTTTTGTTCATCATGTGAAGTGACTGAATCCATCTCGCAAATCAACCGTGGTTAACCACCTTCGCAGTCAGAAGCATTTTCAGAAGAAGGCTTCAAGGAGGGGCAAGCAGCTAAACTTGTTGCCAAGGGAAAACTAGCTCCGAAGAAAGCTCCGCAAGCCAGCATCGTAAGTTCCATCGCCGTTTGGAATGCTGCCCAGGAACCCCGCGACACAGGGGTATCTGACTTTCTGCTTGCTATCATGTCTGCGAATCTTCCTCTGGAGAGGGCCGACCACCCTAGTTGAGGAAATTTCTTCATGGGCACGTACGAAATGGTGGAAGCATTGCTGAATCTGACACGCTGCAGCTGAAAATCCCCCAAGTCTGGGAAACATAATCAGATATTAAAAGGGATGTTCCGTGATGGAAATACTTGGGTGTTGCTCCTCCCAACCTTGGTACACCACGACCGCGGTTTCGTACTGGCTTGAACTCATCAGGTGGCGATAGTCTGAGCTGGGGTGCAGCTCAGAACCCCGTAATTCACGGCTGACGCGTTGAATACTACGCTACCTCTATTGAGACCTCGGTTCACTTTCCGCTGTGCGAAGCTTTGCTCGCGGATCTCGGTAGCGTAGTATTAATGGCGTCAGTTGTGAACTACTAGGCTCTGAGTTCTACCCCAGCTCAGGCTATCGCCATCTGATGAGTCCAAACCAGGACGAAATCGTGGTCCTGGTGTACCAGTGTTGGGAGGAGCACCTCCCAAATATTTCTATTTCGGATACGGTCTTCGCGATCGGAATGACCGAGGTTTCAATAGAGGTTACGTGTCGCAACTCAACCGCACAGTGGGTTCCCCAAATTCAACTTTGTTGTTCCGTGATACTTTTGTCAGCGTTTTAACGGACGAAACAGCAGATGATTGCGAGGAGATGGAACTACACATCCTGTTTTGCGCACCAATGAAGTTCAACTAGGACACTCTCCGAGCATACGTCATCGACACGATCAGTGTAGAGAGTCAATTCTACCATCGTTTGAGGCGCCATTCTGTGCAGCTAGACAACAGTGGTTACAGAGTTCAGTCGTCTGACGGCCTTCGTGTCCGATGGCGCTAGATATATGATAGCATGCTACCGAGATATCATTAAGCCTGTTTGTGAGTATTCATTTAACATCGGATGTGTTACCTATTGCACCAACTTGATTGGGAGACCATTCGCAAATTCTCTCCGGAAGTCGACGAATTCGTTGCAAAAATGAAAAGTGCTTTTCGTCTTTCGGGAGAAAAGAGGCGTGTCTACATGGAGTATCTAACTCAGGAGGGCGTGAATAACCGGCCCAACCGGCCCACCTGCACCGGTTATCACCCCCTGGAACTCCTGGCTGGAAGCTGCACGTCACAGCTATTATTCCCATCATTACCCAGACCTGTTGCATGTTGTACAACACGAGTTTAGAGACTCAGCTGGTGTTTATGAAAGCTTTGCCTTGGCAACTGCGTTGCATTACGACTGTTGGGAAGAACGTCATTCGTCACCTGAAAACTGCCGAATCACAGTCACCGGTAACCCCTAAGATTGACAACGGCCACCTCGATCTCTCTATGTCGCTGAAAACTGGCTGCAACATTTACAGACGTCCAGCATAATCCAAACTGACTTGCAACTCTGCTTATCCAACGCTGCCTTAAAAGCCCAGAACTTGCTGACATCATAGGCTAGCTGGCCATTTTAACAACCATTAGAGTGCTCGTGGCCAAGCAGCTCATCACTTTTCCTAGTAATCTATGCAGCTATGCCGATGTTCTAGGCCTGGTTAGCTCTCCAGCTCTGGCAGCCGAGGGTTTAAGCTATCGAAAATTTTTGGAAAATCTTCAAGGAGAAACATGTCAAGACACGCTGGCCTTCTGATGCGGGATGCATGGAAAAACTCCGCAGCTGGCAGACATCACCGGCCGTTATCTATGCAATCCCGTGAATTCGGTAGACGGTAAACGGAGCTTTAGTGCCTACAACAATGTTTTATCTGGCAAGCTTCACAGCCTTTCAGACAGTAGAACGAAACAGCTGTTTTTAATCATGAAAGACATGTGTATAGTGCATGGTGGTGTCTTGATTACTGTATCTTTTCATTTTCGCGCTTAAATCCTGGAATTTAATGTCTGCGCTGCAGAAATTTCGCGGATTTTTCGATTTTGATCGCGGGAAACATGTTTCACTATCACCGAAAATTTGTCTCTGATACTTATGCACGAGGTATACCGAAGCTAGAACAAGCATGAGCTCGAATTTTTTCAAGGTCGGCCATACCTATCTGTAGAATAGATCGCCCCTCACACCCAGGTTACGTGACAATGTGGCAACACCTTAATATGTTCTCAAGTTACCTTGACGTGGATACATTAATACATGCACATGCGAAAAATCCATCGATGAGCTATTCCTTAAGGTGCCCAAAGCATTTAAATACCAACGCTTCCAAACGTTGGCTTTCGCTTCAGCCATCCGCCAAAACTCTACTACGTGAGTCTTATGCCTCAATACTGTACATATTCGTATCGCCGATGCAAGGGCATAGGCGATCAGTGCCGCCACAGGAACCGTTTCTCGGATCTTGAGAAGTGTATGTATTATTGGTGTTAACGTTATTACTAAACACCCGTCTATTAGACGGCGTCCGAATAGCAGCTAGATCTGACCTATACCGTTATCAGTCAGCCACCTAACTTAGTATTTGACCAAAAAGATGTAGAAGCATGAGATATTTTTCGTTATCGTCCCAATTCCGATGCTGAAAAATGTCTTGACATAAGCCACACGACGGACTCCAATTTTCATTAGAAGCACATGAGCTCTGGTATGCCTCATATTCTATACAGATCAATTTTGACTTCGGAACTGTCACCTATCGTTCCATCGACTGAGTTCTGCATGAACTGCATTGTCGATTTCTTGCTATCCTTTCGATGCGAATGTGTATGAACGCCAATCATTATTCTATCCGAGATCATTATCTCTTAAAGTACTAAGATGACACCCAACGTCTCTCAGCGGCGCGCAGAGGTACACATGCCATCGCATCGACTTCTGATCCCGTATATCATCACGGTGACGTGACTGATTGTTTAAA